CCCAGGGCGGGCACTGGCTGGTTCAGGGGGGTGGGGAATGGGATCTCACATGACCCAGGAGCGGGGCTGACGGTGTCTCCGGCGCCCCCTGCAGGTGGCGATGGTGGAGGTGCAGCTGGAGGACTATGACTACCCGCCGGGGCTGCTGATCGCCTTCAGTGCCTGCACGACGGTGCTGGTGGCCGTGCACCTCTTCGCCCTCATGGTCAGCACCTGCATCCTGCCCAACATCGAGGCCGTCAGCAACATCCACAACCTCAACTCGGTCAACGAGTCGCCCCACGAGCGCATGCACCGCTATATCGAGCTGGCCTGGGGCTTCTCCACCGCCCTGGGCATCTTCCTCTTCCTCACCGAGGTGGTGCTCATCTGCTGGGTCAAGTTCATGCCCGTGGCCGGCGGCGGCTGGGACGCCGCCGTGGCCTCCACCGTCATCATGGTGCCGGTGGGGGTGGTGTTCGTGGTGTTCGCCCTCCACTTCTACCGCTCGCTGGTGAGCCACAAGACCGACCGGCACCAGCAGGAGCTGGAGGAACTCAGCAAGATTAAGTACCAGCTGGATGGAGAGGCTACCGCGGTGCAAACTGTGTGAGGCCGGATCCGGCTCCTGACCGCAGGGGGCGCCTGGTTCCCCCGGCTGCCCCGGGGATGGCCAGAAGACGTTGGCGGCTCCCCCGAGCGGAGGCTGCTTGAGCCGGACAGGAGAGATGGCTGCTGGCTGGGGGCTGATCCACAGCTGGGGTCATTCCCAGCCGTCTCCTCCTCCTGCCTCTGCTGCTTTCGGGCTGGGTTTTCCGTCCCTCGCCACCCCAGCCGCGCGGGAAGTGGGGCTGGTTTGTCCGGCCTGACCAGGCACTGCCCAGGAGAACCGCTCCCCGTCCCCTCTCCTTCCCGGCCATGCTTCCCCTGCTGAGGCTGTGGTAATGACGCCCAGCCGGCGGCTCGTCTTGGGGGGTGGAGGGTGCTGTGTGGGGCACGCAGGTACAGATCGGGGGAAAGTGTAGACACAGATACGGCCAAGCTGGGGTCTGCAATGGGGCATATGCACAGATCTGGGGCTCAGCCACCATTCGGGTACAGCGGTCCCGGAGCTGGGGTAGATGCGGGGGGGTTATTCTCAGCCATGTTGCCTCAGCGCTGCCCCCTAGTGGGGGATCTCAGCATCGACGGCCTCTCCAGCCTTTGGCGGCTATGGGAGCGGGGCGCTTGTCCCTGGGCTGAGAGCCAGTCAACTCATGTCCTACCAACCCCCCAGCACTGTCCTGGAGGGCAAGGCCCCGTGCCCCTCTAAGCCAGCCAGTCCCTCTCCCCGGGGCTGGATCGGCGCCAGTGCCCTGTGTCCTCTTCCCCACTGGTCATTACATAAAATTAATGACTAACTAGCTGATACAGCGACCTTTGCTCTCTAACTATGGTCAGAGCTCCACTACAGAGAACAAAACAGTAGCTAGCATTAATGTAGGCCCTCTGATAATATGGTCCATACCCCGTCCCAGCAGAGGACAACACCCCTTGCTAAACCAAAACAAAAGCCAGCTCTGTAGGACCTATAATGTCTTGTGCTTGGCTTCTATCAAGCAGGAACAGGGGAACAGGTACTTAAGCAGAGCAAAACAGACTATATTTTTGTAGGACCTATGATATGTGGCATTGATTGCGGATGGGAGGGGAGCCCATCTTGCTTGCCGAATCAGTGTTTTTGGTAGGACCTGTAATAATGTGGTGTTGCAGGTCCAGCCAGTGGTCTTCTTTTTTTTTTTTGGTAGGGCCTATAATATGTTGTCACACATTCAGCCAATGTGCGGGCAAGTAGCTTAATGGAAACAAACTGCCAGTGCTTTGTTGTAGGGCCTATAATATTGTGTACTCCGCCCTGCAGGGTGGCGAGCAGAAATGTGTGGTTTAGCTGGAAGGACAGAACCTTTTGCAAGAGATCTAGAGGCATTATTAACGTCTGCAGAGCAATTCACAGCCATACTGCAGTGCCTTATAATCACCAGCAGCCTGGTGCTTGGAGGGGAGTGGGGTCTAGTGGTCAGAGCAGGGGGGTGCCTGGCCCCTCTGATGCCGAAAGTTCGATCCCGCACCGAGGATTGTGGCTGGCTCCAGCCCCCTGGAGTCTGCTGGTGGATTTTCTGGTCTTTTTGTGCCTGTCATTTTTTTGCAGTTTGTAAATAAACGATTGTCTTTGGCAAAGGGCCCAGCTGGGGACAGTTATTTGCAGGGTCAGCCCTGGGGCGATTGTAGATGCAGGTGGTTCTCTGGTGGCAAAGCGGTCTCTGACTAACAGCTGGACCCACATGCATGGCCCCGACTCCCTCCATGAGAGGGGCTGGGAGCCAGGACTCCTGGGTTCTCTCCCTGGCTCTAGGATGGGGGTGGGGGTTATTGGGTTCTTGCAGGGGGAGCCCACATCTCCCCCACCCCACAGCAGGCTGAGCCCTGAGTTGGGACGGACTCTGTTGATGCCCCCTGTCCCCGATCCAGAATAAACATTTACCCTGCCTGGAAGCAGACACTGCTGGCCAAAGAGGGAGGGGGAAGCTGGGCCCAGGGCCAGAGCAAGAGGGGAGCCTGGGAAATGGAGCCCGAAGGGCCAGGCTGCCTCTGCCACAGGCTGCAGTGAGTCTGGCATAGGATAGGAGCGGATGTTGCCATCCCAGCCTCGCCCAGCAGGGGGCACTGTGGGGAGCAGGGCAGGAGCGCTGGCAGTGGGGGGTGCTCCTAGCTACTCCAGGCCCAGCCTTTCCCAGCAAGGGGGTGTTGGTGAGACTCAGGGAAGGGCAGGTTTAGGGCGTGTGCCTGGTTTTAGGGACGCCATGAACCGAAACCCCCAGGGCTGAACTCTAGTCTGGACTAGTCAGGGGTGGAGAAAATGAATTAACAGCTGTTCAGTGTGAAACTTTAGCTGGGGAATGGGACACGGGCCCTTTCCCTTGTAGGGGGCCCCAGCTCCCATCTGGCCCCAGGGCAGGGGACTGGCTGGCTCCAGGGGGTGAGGAATGGGCATGGGGCCTTTCCCCTCTAGGGGATGCCAGCTCCCAACCTAGCCTCTGGCTGGGAACCAGCTGGCTCAGGGCCAGAGGTAACCCCAAAGGACAGAAAAGTTTGTAGGTAGCAAGCTAGTTTTAAGCTATGTCTGAAATATCTGGGTGACTGCTGCCCTCTGGTGGGGGAAGTGAGTCATTTACACCAGGGGACTGTCGAGGGGATCTGCAACAAGGAAAATCAAATGCAGTGTTGCTATTAGTTATTTCTACTTCATCTCATTCTCTGTCACGCCATGTTTCCTACGGGCCCTGACTGAGATCAGGATCCCTGTCGTACTGCAGAGACGATCCCTGTCCCAGAGAGCTCGTGTTCTAAATAGATCAAGGTAGGATCATTCTTCCCACTTCACAGATGGGGAAACTGAGGCCCAGAGAGATTCAGTGATTGGCTCAAAGTCCCAGAGGGAGGCTGTGGCGGAGATGGGCATAGAACCTAGCTGTCCAGACTCTGTCTGGTGTCTTCACCACAAGAATGACTGTCACAATGTGTTTGTGTAGGGTGACCAGATGTCCTGATTTTATAGAGACAGTCCTGATGTTTGGGGCTTTTTCTTATATAGGTGCCTATTAGAATATCAGGGTTGGAAGGGACCTCAGAAGGTCATCTAGTCCAACCCCCTGCTCAAAGGGGGACCAATTCCCAGACTTTTTTTTTTACCCCAGTTCCCTAAATGGCCCCCTCAAGGATTGAACTCACAACCCTGGGGTTAGCAGGCCAATGCTCAAACCACTGAGCTATCCCTCCACCCTTGTCCTGATTTTTCACATTTGCTATCTGGTCACCCTGTTTTTGTTTTTTTTTTTTTCTGCTTTCCTCTGCGTACACAAGCTCTGAAGGAGTTTTGTAATTCATGTCACTTTAGTCTTGGAACAAACTGTACTTTGCCTATCTCTGTTGGCTGGGAGTCCCCAGAGAGGTGGATCAGGGCTGTCACAGCCTTAAATTGAAATCATGTTGGGCATTTCACATAACAAACTTTTCTCACCAGTGGTTGGCAGGTGTTTGAGTTAAATAGGGAGATTAGTAAAGGACAAAGACCACTAAGTGGCCTTTATTGCTATACCAGGGTCAGCGGCTGGTTAGGAGGGTCACTTTTGTTAATAAGTGGGCATGGCCTTCTCCATCTATGCTCCATCCACCTTTATGTGGCAACAAGACTCATTTATACATGTCCCACCCCAACGTGGTTGAATCTGCTGGGGGGCAGGGCATCTGTGGGTGCTATCTGCTTATTCTCCCTGTGCAATGTTAATATGCCCATTGGTGGCAGATCTTGGGTACAATGGGTTTATTACCCCACCCGCTAAATAAAGATGGGCAGGACTCAGAATGTGGCTTGCTGGTGGGTGTCAAGGGAGACTGGTATAACATGTACATTAAGGAGAAGACTAGCTGGGGGCACCTCGAACATCTCCTTGCATTCAACACTGTGTTTACTCCTTGTGGCAATGCTACAACAGGTGTGTGCATTGAGGACAGTAGATTCAACGCTTGTGAAAACTACATATGGAAATATATTGAACCATTTGTAATCAAAGGCCTCCTCCTCCTCTAAATGTGAATGGGTGGGGCTGATTTAAAAAAAATAGGGCAAATCTGTGGTAATTAATTGTTTTGAAAGTACTTCCAGCTATCAAAAGATAGGTCAGAGGATGCAAAATTGGTCCCCGAGGGCACAAGATAGGTCTCAGGAGGTTGTAATTGAGCCTATGGAAGGGCACTAGCAGATTCAACAGACTCCCCCTTCTCCTCAAAAAGAACAGGAGTACTTGTGGCACCTTAGAGACTAACAAATTTATTAGAGCATAAGCTTTCGTGGGCTACAACCCACTTCTTCGGATGCATATGCAAAAATCAGCCTTGATGAATTAGCATTTTATTTGAGGTCTCATGAGATTTTGGATGGTTTTATTAATTACTTAGATTTATTTCAATTTATTGACCTTTTCCACAATGAAGAAAATGTTGAAGGTGAGTCACTGGTTTTTTATTGCCTTCCTTAGGGGAAAAATGTCAGGTGATGGATTAGCTGTGTAGATTCCACACAATTTACCCATGGCCTTAAAAAAAAAAAAAAAAAAAAAAAAAAAAAAAAGTTAGTGAAGTAACAGTTGAATTTCTGCTCTCTGATGTTGTTTAACTTAATTTATTTAATAATTTTTCTACCCTGTGACGAAAGTGCTGGCAGCAGATGAGAGAGTCGTTTTTTCCCGTTCTTCCTCTCATCTCTACTTGGCTCCAGCTGTAGTTGGCTTTAGCAGGTTCGGCATAACCCTTAAAATTAAATAATTATATTATGTTAATTCAGGAGCTGATTCCTCTCCTACTCGTAACCTTTTAAAAGGAGGAAGTTATTTATTTGAATGTATCGTAATTTGTTGCACCCCGTGGCAAAAGTGCGGTAGACAAATCAATCCCCTAGGATTCCTCCTAGCCATTGGAACTCGCTGTGATTTCGTCTACGCAGATTCAATCCTGTGATATCCAATTACTGCCTTTTAAATAATATTATATAATCAATGGACTCATTTGCCTCCCTCTGATTCTGCTCTAGCATTGTAATT